TCTACCATGTAAACTGCTGTCTATATTTAGATAAATTCCTGTTTAGAATTTTTGCCAGTCATTGTTTTTGTTTGTGTGCTTCTTCTTAGTGCCGGCTTTCGTCATTTCGCTGTCGGCATTTCGATGAGAGCGTTCGTCAATTGCTATGGGCTATTGGTTCACTTCGCGGCCACTAGTTCTACTTCGTTATTTTTTTGTTTATTACTTAATACTAGAGTTGCTTACTAGTCACAGACGTTTCGTCTTAGACGTTGTCATGTGAACACATCATTATTTTGGACTTTGGATTTTGCTTTTAAATAATAAATAAACAGCGAAGTTTTTATTATTTTTGCTTAAAGAATAAATACCAGTATCAAATGTTTAACCAAAAGATAGCCATTTATTAAAATGTTTATTTAACATATATTAATATCATTAACATACGAGTACTAAGTAAAATATTTATATGAATTCTATTTAATTTTTTAAATTATTGTAATTTAAATTTTTATTTTCACAAGATTGTAATATATATAACAACACAATATCTTCTAGTCTCCGGATAAATGCATTCCACTTAATTAAGTTTCCACTCTTAAATGCGCTTTCGAATTAGTCACAGACAAAAAACAAAAAAACAACTAAAACTCCTGGATACAAATAAATTCGTCATTACACTTTTGGAATAAAAGTGCCTAGATAAATGGTTCCGTGAGTTTTATAATATAAAACTCTACTGAAATATAAACTCTATAAACTCTACTGAAATAGTCTTTAATATTTGCCATACTTTTTGGTAGAAAGTGAAATGGGCAAAAGTTCTCATTTGGCTTAGTATGAATAGATTTTCTTATTAAAGGTATAGTATAAAAATAAGGCTGATATGGCAACATGAACTTGGTATTCCTGACAAAGAAGAATTACTTTGAAAAAATAGTCACATACTTCTGCTCAATCTAAGTTCTTGGAATGCAGTAATTTGACACGACAATAGTTCGATCAGTTTGTTTGTGATAGGTTATAGTATTTTTAAAACGAATATGATGTATATTATACATATATATTCGATAATATTTAAATATTAATATGTTCAATACTTCACCGAATCGTTGATCTGTTTTTAATCTAAATTTTTATTCTCCCCAGGAGTGTTCACAACAGATCATTATTCTCGCAAGCGAATTTTAACAAATCATTAGACAGATTGTATTTATCTGTTACAGTAGTTGCCAGTAAACTAACTGACCATCAATTGCCAATTTATTCTCAATTTAAATCTTTTCAATACTTTACTCAACAGAAAGCATGTCTTTGCATTTGATTTTTAATAAGGCTAAAGCCTGATGGTTCCCAACCAGAGGTCTGCGGATTCATAATTCCATATACTATATATGTACTTATGCATTTTTAAAATTCATTATACAATTATACCCGAAGAGAGGCAAAAGCATATTTTAAATAATGATACAGTTTATTATCTTTAACTTTGTGGGCCCTAAGCTAAAACAAAAAATCTGGTAGTACTTGTCAATAAAAAAATTGGGAACACTGCTTTAAGATTTAGAATACATTTGTAAGTTACAGCCAGTGACCAGTAGTTTTACTGCAATAGCAGCAGTGCAACTTTGGTGAAGAAATTTTCAATTAATTGCTTGTGGAGATACCGATTTGCTGACTTCCTTTATAACATTGAAAAGTAGAGTTAAAATGAACAAAGTTTATTTAAATAATTATTTAAATATAAAATGTTTATCTGCTAACAATAATTAAATTGCTATTACGTTATTATATACAGGCGATGTATATAATCGCATAATAACTGTATAACAATTTTAATAAATTAATAAAATCTATTTAATTTTGATAATGATTAAATTTAAGTATTTCTAATGATGAAATTTTGATAATGAATTGCAAAAAGTTTTCAAAATCTCGTTGTTTGATAATGAAGAAGTGAAATTTTTCTTTCGATCAAAGTTCAAACGCAATACAAAAACACTCCAAACACACCCACTGATGATATAAATACGAAAACTGTTTGATAAGTTTTAAAATAGTTTTTTTTTTTTAATAGAAAGATTTATTTAACACAACAATATATCAGTTACAACAATGTATCAGTTGTTTTGTCAGCAAATCCAACAGTTAAATATGCCAAATTATGTCATAGAGTGTTTTCGTATTCACTAGATTTAGTCACAAATTTTTTATTTATTTACAAATTTGTGAAAATAGCTTGCTGAGAAATAATTCCAATTAAATTCGGATTTAACCTTTTCACTCAACGAGGCTTTGAAGACTTCAAATCATATTCTTCAAAAGATATGAAAATTGCAGTACTATTGCAGCAAGTGTGTAAAACTTAAAGGAAACTACACCTTTAATAAATATATATTATTACAAAATTTAATGAATGGAAAAATTCAACTCTTCATTTCTCACTGATTTATTAAAACACCCTCGTACTAGAGCAGCCGGTAAGAAACAAAATCCAGTTTTATCAGTTTGTTCGCTAGACACTAGAGAAAAGACTATGAAGATAAGCAAATAACATCGTTGAACAAACTAAAAGGCTAACAACATAAATACAAATAACTTGTTCTCTTGATCTCACATTTGTAAACAGACCTTCAAGCTAAAAACATGTTTTTAGAATTATTCTTAGGTTTTTTTACTTTTTTACTCATATGGGACTTCATCCATAAACGAAGAAGAAATAAACTTTTTAAAAATGCCGGCATTCAAGGGCCAAAAGGCTTACCACTTCTTGGAAATATTCTGAAATTAATTAATGAGAACACTGAGAGTAAGCAAATATATTTTATTTATACAATATAAAATTACAATATCTTTTTTAGCCCTAACTTATTTTAATAAATCAATGCGAACTAAATATGGCAAGATATGGAGAATGTGGTTCTTTCATCAGGACCGTGTCTTTGTGCAAGATCCTAAATACTTTGAGAGCATACTCAGCAGTCAACAAGTTATATCAAAAAACAACTCATACAGCTTATTATTGCCTTGGCTTGGGGATGGTTTACTTCTAAGTACAGGATCTAAGTGGCATGCGAGAAGAAAGATTTTTACACCGACTTTTCATTTTAAGATATTAGAACAATTCGTTGAGATTTTCGATCAACAAAGCACAGTTATGGCAAAAAAGTTATATGACAAAGCTGACGGTAAAACAGTCATAGATATGTTTCCAGTAGTGTGTCTTACTGCATTAGATATAATAGCCGAAACCGCGATGGGTGTAAAAATCAACGCTCAAATGAATCCAGATTTTCCGTATGCCAAAGCAGTCACAGAGTAAGAAATTATATTGTATATCACTTTTACTTACTATATTTAATAATAATTTTTCCAGAGTTTCCCAAATTATAGCTACACGTGTTATTAAAGGCAATCAACGCTATGATATACCTTTCATGATTACTGCACCACATATTGCATTCAGATTAAAGAAGCATATATCACTCATGCACGATTTTACGGATACAGTAATCAAAGAGCGCAGAGTTGCATTGGAAAAATCAATCGCAGATGGTAGTAATAAACCATTAGGTAAGTCATAATATTTTAGCAATAAATACTTCGAATCCATTTTATTGCTCGCTTTTTCAAAAATAATTAAATATTTATTTAACTTTTACTTTAGATGTATCAGATGATATGGGAGTTAAAAAGCGAATGGCTTTTCTGGACGTTTTACTACAATCAACAGTAGATGGCAAACCTTTATCAAATGCAGATATACGTGAGGAAGTAGATACATTTATGTTTGAAGGACATGATACCACTACAAGTGGCATATCACATACATGTTACCTTATAGCCAGACATCCAGAAATTCAGCAGAAACTTTTCGATGAAATACGACAAGTAATTGGTGATGATAAGAACAAAGCGATCACAACAAGAGAGTTACAAGAGCTTAAGTATTTAGACATTGTTATTAAAGAGGGTTTGCGTTTATATCCGCCGGTACCAATAATTGGGCGAATGACTGATAGCGACGTTGTATTAAGTAAGTTCAAATTAAATTATTTCTCAATGTCAAAATAAAAAAAGTATTCAATCACTTATTTTAGATGGTAAATTGATTCCTTCAAACACAAATATAACTTTGTTACTTTATGCAGCTTTGAGAGATCCGGATTATTTTTCAAATCCAGATGAATTCATACCAGAACGGTTTTTAAATGAAAAAATTGATCCGTTCGCAAATGTTCCTTTCAGTGCTGGTCCGCGTAATTGTATTGGTCAGAAGTTCGCTTTATTGGAAATGAAGAGTACTATTAGCAAATTATTGCGTCATTTTGAATTTTTACCCTTGGGCGCAGAAGTAAGACCAATGCAAAATCTGATTCTTCGTTCTGCGAGTGGTATTAATGTTGGACTTCGACCTAGGGTATATTCATAGTTTGAGATTGTAGTGAACTGTATAAATGTGTGCGTAAAATGCGGTATTTCAATTTATAAATATTATTAACAAAATTGTGTGACGTGTTGTTCTATATAAAATTAATTATTTTAATGCTAATTGTAAAACTGAACTACTTCTCTAGATTTTTAAATAAATACGTTTTAAATGATTTTTGCGATTTTTTATACTATACCATAATGTTAAAAATGTTCTTATTAATTGGTATTACGGAAATAATTGCAGTTCGTTAAAATAGTTTTTTTACGAACTACATGAGCTTCATTTATATAAGAAAAATTAAATTAAATAATTATTAAAAACTATTTTTTACTTCGTATTTTATGGCGCCATCAAGATAAGTCAATTAGAATAGGTACTAACCCAGTGGAGGCAGAATAATATAATAAAATATAAGTCCCCTCAAAGAAATTTTATAAAGCAATATACAAAACTGAATTCCTTTTATCTTATTTATTTGAAAACGCGGAGTATCAAAATACACAAAGATTCTAGCAAAGATTTATTTTGGATTTTTAGGAAGGCAATTATAATAAATTTAATTAAAAAAAAATGGAAACAAAAATGTATAAATAAATCACTTGAATAGTTATTTAACAATAAAACATTTATGTTAAGTAACGCGTTGTCAGTTTGTAAGCTACTGGTTTTCTTTATAATTAGAGGATTCATATATTAATCGAAAAAGTTTTGATGAATCGATTTTATTTATAAATTGCAAAAAGTTTTTGGCATTTTACTGGTTTAATATGAATAACTTAATTCCTTCACTTGGGCAAAGTTTAAAAACGGTATATCAGGGCATGCTAAATATCCGCAGACGACATAACATGATAGCAGCAGACATATAACAAATCTCTATTTTATCAGTATGAGGTCACTACAAGCCAGATATCAGACCAATAAGATAAGCAAAAGTAATCGCGAAACAAAGTAAAAGACTAGGAACATAAGTATAAATAGTTTCTTCATGGGTTTAGAAACTATTATTAAATACACATTTAATTATTTAAAAACATTTAATTTTATATTCGATATAAAATTATAACACTTTTTTTTAGTACTATATACAGATTATGGTTATTTCATCAGGACCGAGTCTTTGTGTTAGATCCTAAATTCTTTGAGAATATACTCAGCAGTCAACAAGTTATATCAAAAAATAACTTATGCAATATGCTAATTCCCTGACTTGGGGATCGTTCACTTCTAAGTACAGGATCAAAGTGGCATGCGAGAAGAAAGATTTTTATGCCGACTTTTCATTTTAAGATATTAGAACAATTCGTTGAGATTTTCAATCAACAAAGTGCAGTTATGGCAAAAACTTTATATAAAAAAGCAAATGGTAAAACAGTGAGAGATATGTTTTCAGTAATATGCCTAACTGCACTATGTATAATAGCAAACAGCGGGATGGATGTAAAGATCAAATCACAGATCAACCCAGATTTTCCTTATGCCAAAGCGGTCACAGAGTAAGCGATTATAGTATATATTCAAATTTACTTACTACATTTACCAATTAATTTTTACTAGTGTTGCCCAAATTGTTGCTACACGTGTTATTAAAGGCAATCAATACTTTGATATGCCTTTAATGGTTACTGCACAACATATAGCACTCAGATTTAAGAAGTATATAGCACCGATTTGTAGTTTTACTGAAACGGCAATTAAGGATCGTAGAGTTGCATATAGCAGATGGAAGATGTACCATTAATTAAGTTTTATTAAAATAATAATAAAAGTTATTTTCTGGAATTATTCTATACATTTAGGAGAAAATTTCAGGGCCCAAGAAATGAAAAAAATTGCATGGGATAGTTTCATAACTATGTATATTACTTAAGTACTCTAATAAATTTGTGCAATACGGTTAGCATATCATTAGTTAGCTACATTTGAAGGTCCATTACAGAAAAACTTTGTTTAAAATACTTACAGTTCTTTGATAAAAAATTGTTCTAAGAAAATAAGGATCGATACTAATAACACCATTTACATTTAAATATATTTATGTTCGAAGGACATGATACCTCTATAAGCGGGACATCAAATACACATTATGGCCGGACATCCAGCAATTCAACAGAAACTTTTTGATGAACTACGACAAGTTATTGGTGATGATAGAATAAACCCATCATAACGAGAGAATTACAAGAGCTTAAGTATTTAGACATTGTTATCAAGAAGGGTTTACGTTTTTACCCACCATTACCAGTAATAGGTCACTTGAATGATACCGACGTTATAATAAGTTAGTAATTATTAGATTGTTTTATGAAACAAAAAAAAAATGTTTCCAATTATATTTTGTAGATGGTAAATTAATTCCTGCCAATACAAATATACATAACTATGTTATTTTATTCAGCTTTGAGAGATCTCGATTATTTCTTAGATGAATTTATACCAGAACGTTTTCTAAATGAAGTGTTCGTTTACGTAATTGTATTGGTCATATGTGCGCTCTATTGGAAATGAAAAGCACTATTAGTAAACTATTGCGCCATTTTGAATTTTAATCTATGGGTGCAGAAGTACGACCTATTCAAAATCTATTTCCTTGTTCTGCAAGTTTTCGAAATGTTTTACAATAATGGTACTCTGTCTTGCAAACTCATTGCAAGGTGCACGAAATGAACAGATTGCCCGAGCTTGCAATTGACAACAACAAAATAACCGCACAATATTTCTTGCAATATTACTATACTTAAACCCATGTATATATGCCTGTATGCCTGTAAGAAACAGAAAAATAAAACAGCTGTTTTGACATTTGTTGCTTCTCATGTGGATGTGGTATGCTGCATATACGGCTGTTACATTTTGATGCTGCAATTCTGCAACAGAGATGACCTCGCACTCTTGCAATTTTATAATAACATTCTTGTATTTAGTGCACCTTGCAATGACAGAGTGAATATAGACAGAGTGAGTATATATGGATGCATTTAAAATGAAATTTATTAAACATAAAAATTTATTAACTTCATCACACTTTTTTACATGCAATCAGAAAATTTTAAAATTAAAGCAATTTAAAGTTTAAAATATATTTGTGTATATATTTAATTGTTGTTTTGGAAATAATTTTAGTTCAATGAACTAGTTTGTTTACGAACTATACAGGCCTTATGTACACAAGTAAAAATGATATTGAATAACTTTTTAGCAGTAGTGGCTTGTGTCAATTATGTTGCGTGCAACTTCATTTGATGTTGTTTTCTTTTACAGAAGCTGGTAATTATCGAAAACAGTATAGTGGGATCCACTAAAACCACATTAAAAGAAATTACCACACAAAATATTTATATTATTTTTTGTAAATGCTATCTATT